TATGGATTCTGAAACACTAGCAGTTCCCAGGCACTATTTTCAGAGCTGTCCTGACACTTGTTAATAATGTTGGTGTATAAGGCTGTGCTCTTTTTAAACTCCTTTAGATACAAAGAAAATTAGCTAGTATGTGCCAGAAGGGAAAGGGGAGAAAATCCTGTTCTTGCTGTCAGAGAGAGAATGCTAAAAGCTGTAAGTAAAACTAAAGAGGCCTTTTCCCATCAGATTCAAATATTGGGGAGTGAAGTTTTCAGGTGAAAAGCAAATACTCTGCTTTCTTGATGAACTTACTGGCAGCTTGCTCCTGGGCAGGGCCTAACATGCCCCTAGTTGGGCCCAGTTACTTACATCAATGCAAAGAAACATTTCTAATAAGATAAACTCCTGAAATTAATGTAGGGAAGTCTGATGGTTTTTGGCTTTCAAAAATGATTGCCCCTAAATGCAACATAGGATTTTAAATTGCATTCTGGAACAGGAAAAGGACATTAATGGAAAATCTCGTGAAATCTCAAGAAAACCAATGGTTTAGTTAACAGAGTTTAATAAATGTACCATGGTTATGTAAGATGCTGGGGAAAGCTGTGTGAAGGATATCGGGCAACTTTCTATACTAGCTTTACGACTGTTGTGTAAATCTAGAACTACTCCCAAATAAAAGGGTTTAATGAAATGATGCCCCTTTAGTTGACTTGTCTCTGATCTCTGAAGAGCAGACACACAAAGGAGACCTCTGGCTTCTGGGGACAGCCTCCTCTGTACCTTCCCTTAGACTACAGCACGGGCAACCAGAGAGCATACTGGGAAGGGGAATGCTGGTGTCCTAAGTGAGGCTGCGAGACAAGTAAGCAGTGTCTCAAAAATGAGCTCAAACAGAAGCAGGCTGGGTCACCTTTGTTAATCATCTGCTCTTAGTAGGCAAGGCTTACCCTTGATGCATATCCATTTTATTCACTATTCATTAAGGATGAGGGGGTTTATTTTTCATTCAAAATAGTAACATCAAGAGTTAGCAAGAGAACTCCAAATTCAGACACTTTTCCTTAGGTATGGGGTACTGAATTGTCTTTTAGAAATTATTTGTGTGTATCCGATATAAAAAATTTGTTTATTTTACCCATACTAGATAAGGACTATAAAATTAAGGTTCTTGGAGTTAAGTATGTATCCTACCTTTTGTTCAACAAAGTTACTAAAGGATACGTTTTTCTCTCTTTTTTTAATGTTTATTTTTGAGAGATTGAGAGAGAGAGTGCACTCGCGCAGAGGGGCAGAGAGGGGGACAGAGGATCTGAGGCAGGCTCGTCATTGACAGAGTAGCTTCAGTGCAGTGAGCCAGATGTAGGGCTCAAACCCATGAACCACGAGATCATGACCTGAGCTGAAGTCAGAGCCTCAACTGACTGAGCCACATAGGTGCCCCTAGATTTTTCTCTTAAACACAGATATCCACTTTCAGAAACACACATACAGCCTCTGCGTAGTTATTTCCTTTTGCTAAGATGTGTAAAATATTATATTTGTATTTAAGCATTACTGTTTCAAGCATAAAGATGAAAACGCCCTTCTGGGGTTTCTTGAAGGATAGTGGAACAGAAGAGAACACATTTGCTCATTCAAAATAGTGATATCCTGAGTTAGCAACAGAACTCCAAATTCAGACACTTTTCTTTAGGTTTGGGGTATGGAATTGTCTTTTAGAAATTATTTCTGTGTGTATCCAATATCTGTGTATACCAGATCACTGGGATTAAGTGATCTTTTTAACAAAAGGATGGTGGAGTGGCCTTTTTCTTGGAGGGTTTTGAGCTGAAAGTGAACAAGATGGGATTTATTTTTGAATAAGACCATTCTGGCTGCTGTGGAGCTAAGCCTTAAGATGGGGGGCGGGGAGGGTGGCTGCAGGGAGGCAGTAGGGAGGCAACCACAACCATCCAGGCAAGACTGGAGGTGGGGAAGAGGTTGGTCAGATTCTGCAGGTGATTTGAAGGCAGACCCAAAAGCGGTAAGTAAGGGAGGGCCAAGAAGGCACCTAGGTTTTTGTCCTGTGTAATAGGGAGGGATGATGATGTCAGAAATGGAGAAGAGAAAAATTATAGGAGGAGCAGACTGAGTCAGATTAACTCAGTTTCAGCCATGTTAGGTCAGATGTTGACACAGCAAGGTCAAGTGGGTGGCTGGATGCAAATCTACGGTTGGAGGGAGGGGTCTGAGCTGGAGATCAAACTTGGGGTAGTCAACAGCACACAGATGGTATTTAAAGCTTGAGATGCGACGAGATGCCCTCCGAAGTGGGAATGGCGAGGAGAGACCCAAGGACTGAGCCTAGGGCTGTCTCAAGTTCAGAGGTCGAGGAGAGCAGGAGGAACGGACCCAGGAGACCAAGACTTGCCCCACTTCTCTGACAGCCCAGGTCATCCCAGGGAGAAACCTGAAAATGATGACGTCTTTATAAGTCATGAAGTCCAGAGTTACCTGGTAACAGCCTTAAGGGGAAAGGGTACACGTATCCCCCCTTGATTTTAAGAGCAATTTGGTACTTGAGTTGTTTGTTGACTCATTTGGAAAAATTCACCTCTTTGAAGGGACCAAAGAGTGATCCAAAAGCCTGATTTGGGGAGGACTGCAGGGGGACAGGGGTAGTAATTGACAGGCTTGAAGGCAGACTTGTAACTGGAAATAGGATTCAAAAGCTACTTGTAATCTATTCAAAATTTAAAACGGAATGAATTCTGCACATTGCATACCCACGTATTCCAGGCATGTGGCTCCTGTGCATTTTTTTTCCCCAATAAGAGAAAAAAATGGCAGCAGCCTGAGGACTGACTTTAAACACAAAGCTATCTGTGAAAACAGTGAATCCCAAAATTGAATAATATACTTTTCTCACTCTATGAATCATCTCTGGGGCCCTGGCTAGATGTAAATGCTGTGCTCGCCACGAGGTCCTACCTTTCTGGGACCCATCTCATTCCTACAGGGAATGTAGCTCATACTCTTGAGTCAGGTGCAAACAAAAGAGCAGCCACGGAAACACGGATTTAGTAGGGCATTGTTGTGGAATATGATCACAGACAAAATTCTCTGACAGCTCTGTCTGATTGTCTGTAGTACTCGAGTTACAGAAACAGTTACTTGTACAGAATGTATTCATGTGCTAAGTGGGTCATTTATTTAGCACCAAAATCAAATTATAAAAACATCGGTTCCATCTTAAAACATGCATTTCAAAAGCTGTTCTGGCATTCCAAGTTTGCATCGAGACATCTGCACAATCTGAATACCCAAACCCCTCTATGATTTCTAATGACAAAGACCATTCTCAGTCGTTATGGGAAGCTGGTGTGCAGACAACTGCCCGTCAGATGGTGTCCCCCAGGGAACGATGTTTCTTACTCAGCCCGAGGTTTCTGCCTTCATCCCCAGGAAGAGTTTTGAGCTTGCTTAAACATGCTTAAACACATTCTCGGTAAACGGTCAGGAATCCTGTAGGTCATAATGCCGCAAAATTGACCAAAGAGGAAGAACATAGTCAAGGTCTCCTGCCACTTACATTTGCCATGTTCAGCTTCTCAAACAGGGCTCTTCCTAACCAGCAATCCTAAAGTCCAGCTTTCAAAATAAGACGGCTTGGTTAACACCCTTTAATAACTACTATGCAGCTGCAAATGACTCCTGACAGCTTTTCTAGGGAGGGAATGGATTGCTGGGCGGGTGGCTCTAAAGATCTCAAGGCGAAAGACAAGCTCAGGTTAACCATTTCCCCTCCAGGCTGACCACAGAGTTTTGTGAAGCCCCGTCCCCAAAGCCCTGACTGCAGAGGAGGAGAGCAATGCTTTCTCTTTAGTAAAAGCCCTACCATTCATCTGTCTTATCATTTTCCTTCTTTATTCTTGGCAACTGTTTCTGGAAATTGGGGGGACTCCTCTCAGGTAAGACGCAGGAGACATTCACAAGTAAGGCCAGCATCCTGGAGGTGCTGTCCTCAGAGCAGCCATAAGGAAGATGCAGCAGTTAAGTTCAAGAGAACATTTGTGGGCAGATGGCCCATTTGTACCTGTCCTTTGGAGCAGCGAAAGTGGACATCGGAGGGTGTCACACTCCCGGATATAAAGGATCCCAGTTCCAATTGTATTATGATGCATGTGGTAACTGTATTTTACAAAAGACTTTGGTTTCTCCCCGGCTATGGGTCAGCAGGGTGGGAGAGTCTTATAAGCCATACAGGCCAGGGACTTCCTGCACCGCGTCCTTTCCCAAACAGATGGCACCGCTCCCGACACTGTCGTGGGAAATAAGCCATGACATGGCCCTTTACAAGGTCAACGAGGATCTATCAAGGACACACAGAGCAGTAACTCCACAAGGAGCAATTCTGTGTTCTTCTGACCTTCAGTCTTCCATATCCGTGAATTTTCTCTTCTTATAGTTCTGAACGAGGTTGGAAGCTGTGATCTGAGAAGCCTGCCCCTTCTCCCAACACTGAAAGTCATTCAGTCCTTTCTGCCCTGTTTGAAATAAGCCCCTCTCCATCTCGTCCAGCCTGGCTACCAATGCCGAAGTGTCTTCATTGTAAGTGTTCTGGGAAGAGTCCATAATGCGGCGGAAACGTCCAATGAATGTCTGAAGAAGGAATGAGTGAGAAAAATCAGATCCATTTTTCCCTGAACATTTAAATGTCATGAAGGGCAAAAGTTTGGTCTAGGACTCAGTCAGAAGGAGGTCTCAGGTGACTTTATCACTCGAGGAAGTGATTTCACATTGCCATGCCTCAATTTCCTCATCTGTGAAATGGACGGTTATGAATATCCAACAGGTTGTTATGGTAGCCAATGAAGGAATACATGTAGGACATCTAGCAACTGGCTGGCAAGAGTAATCTGCTCAAAAAGCGCTACCCATTAATTTGAGCCCTGCATTAGGTTCTGCGCTGACAGTACGGAGCCTGCTTGGGATTCTCTCTCTTCCTCTCTTTCTGCCCCTCCCCACCCCCCACCAAAAACATTAAAAAAATTAAAACAAAAAAAAAGGGTTACCCATTATTGTTATTACTAACAAAGGCCACAATAATGTACTGTGACACGCACAGATAAGTTTGGACCAGAAAAGACTCCTAATCTAATTGAGTGCATTTTATATCTTTTTCAGTGTGAGAGCAGGATAGAGACACAAATGACTGAGGGTTGTCATTTTACCACAGGGCCCTGAGACCAAGCCACAAGCCCCTGCCTCAGTTTCTTCAATTGCCTCATGGAGTTATCACCTTACCGATGGGCAGCTTTATAGAACTTGAAAGCAGTGATGGAAAAAGGAAAAATATAACTCACTAACAAAGGGCACTGTTCCAATTCAAGGACATGTCCTGGAGACACTGTCAGACAAATAAATGGACTTTCCCTATTTTTAGCTTTCTGCTCAAAAGAGTTTCATAAGCTCAAACTGTCTCTAGTCTATGTATTGATTTCCTTATCTCAGTGGATGGCAACAATGTTTTTCTTTACTATTTACATCAAAAACCATTCCAGTACATGTTAGGCCAAACAACCCTTGAGCCTGATGGAGGGTGTCTATATAGTCTAGGGAGGAAACGTGTCTTCAGCTGAAGTTCTTATAAAGCTAGAAATGAGGAAGTAAAATAAGAGGTAGAAAGGGTAGCTTCTCCTAATATTAGCAAAAAAACCCCAATTATGGGGGTGCCTGGGTGGTTCAGTCAGTTAAGTATCTGACTGGCTCAGGTCATGATATCACGGTTTGTGGGTTCAAGCCCTACATCGGTCTCTGTGCTGACAGTTCAGCGCCTGGAGCCTGCTTTGGATTCTGTGTCTCCCTCTCTCTCTGCCCCTCCTCCGCTCAGGCTCTGTCTCTCTCAAAAATAAATAAACATAAAAAAAGTAATGATTATGAGACGTTAAAATAAGGTTATGTCGTAAAGGATAGTAATATGGGTATAACATTGTTTTGTCCGTGGAAAACAACAGTAATAGTTACCATTTGTTAAATGGCACCACCTAATCTCACTACGATGCAATAATTTTGGCACTATTGTTATCTCCATTTAACAGGTGAAAAATGGAAGCCTATAGAGGTCACGCAGTTCGTACATAGCAGAGCCATGATTTAGCCCCAGAGCAAGGGACGGGAACAAATAACACATGTACTCCTGACGGGAGCCCTCAGACCAGTCTTGGGGCTGGGCTGGGCTGGTGTATTTAAGTGCCTGTCACCTATAGTCAACCATCATCTCTCTTATTTCCAGGCCTTCCTGTGGCCCCAACTCTTAACAAACAAATATGAAGAGCTACAGACAAGTCATTTTTTTTAAGTCATTTTTAAGTAAATATATAATTGGCAAATGCAGTCTAACTGTAGGCCGCTGTGGAATAACGAATAAACTGAGCCGTATACATGATACACTCCCTGGGTAAGGGTGGAGGCTGGTGGCTCCTAAGGTGTGTGTGGTGCCATAGGGTTTTCACATCAATTACTTGCCTGCAGGAGAGACTGGGAGATGTCTGCATTCTCTGGACTGTCAAAATGCAGGAGTTGGGAGCCAAACCCATAGAAATGCGGCCCCAGTTTGTGGAGGTCCACCACGTTGGCATCGGCGCTGAACACGGTCCTCCAACCTTGCTGGTAGATCTTGGGAAGGTCCACAGAAAGGATCCGCCGCTTGTGGTCAAAAAGTCCCTTTGCCAGCCACAGGGGGAGTTCGAGCTTTGAGCCCTGCATCACACAGGAATGTAGGTTTTATTTTTTTAAAAAATTTTTTTTTTTTCAACGTTTATTTATTTATTTTTTGGGACAGAGAGAGACAGAGCATGAACGTGGGAGGGGCAGAGAGAGAGGGAGACACAGAATCGGAAACAGGCTCCAGGCTCTGAGCCATCAGCCCAGAGCCTGACGCGGGGCTCGAACTCACGGACCGCGAGATCGTGACCTGGCTGAAATCGGACGCTTAACCGACTGCGCCACCCAGGCGCCCCAGGAATGTAGGTTTTAAAAGCAAATAGCGTAATAAATGTGTGTGGCAATACACAGAAATACAGGTTGCCCGAGCAGGCATCTGCTGCCTGTTCTGTTTGGGGGCGTGGCTCCCAAAAGCAGAAGAAGGTTGTGACTTGAAGAGATGAACTGCATGGGCTGAAGTTTTACATCATAATGGAATGGTGAGAACAACGGTTTTTGTTCAACAGAAGCACAGTACGGAACAAAAATGTGGTACAAAGGGGAAGTTTTCTAACTCACATAAATAAAAACTTCCAATTGCAGATACTTCAGAAGTATAATAAATATTTCTGGGGGTGCCTGGGTGGCTCAGTTGGTTGAGCATCTGACTTCGGCTCAGGTCATGATCTTGTGGCTCGAAGAGTTCAAGCCCCACGTCAGGCTCTGTGCTGGCAGCACACAGCCTGGAGCCTCCTTCAGGTCCTATGTCTCCGTCTCTCTCTGCCCCTCCGCCGCTCACACTCTCTCTCTCTCAAAAATCAATGAACATTAGAAAAATACAAAAATAAGCATTTCTGCTTTCTTTAAATATTCCATACCTGTTCCTCATACGCACTCACTGGAGGCCTACTACGCACTAAGCACCACCAGGTACTGGGCAATATATGGAAAAACAGCATCAGCCTGAGCTCAGGCCACAGCCCCTCTCCATCCCACTTCACAGCTTCAGAGAGGACAGTAAAGATACACATCTCTCTATATTTTTAAAGCCTTAACAGAACTGGAAAATATAATGAGGTGGCCATGACAGACCAGAAATGAAGAGAAATATCCAAAAAAAAAAAAAAAAAAAAAAAAAAAAAAAAAAAAAAAAAAAAAAAAAAAAAAAAAAGGCCAAATATAACTGAGTTGAAGGCATCTGCAGACAGAAAGTGTGCAGAAAGTTAACACAGCAAGCCTCAGACCGCCCTCCTTAGAGGGGCCTGCCTGCAGAGTTGATCCTTGGTGGGTGTCCTGGAACTTGGGTTTCAGGAGGGTTCCCACTCTTCTCAGAGTGGATAGGAGTGCCTCACTGTGCTTATGCAGTTTGCACAAACAATGTGGCTTATGCTGAATACCTGCTTTCCTTCTGGGAGTCTGGAATCTTGGAATGTGTTCGGTAGAATGCCTGTGTAACTAGCCCTCAGTACGACCATGGGTACTGAGTCTCTAATGAGTTCCCAGGTACACATATTTCACCCATGCTGTCATAATGCGTTACTGGATATTCCAGTGCATCCTGTGCGACTTCGCCCGGATGGACGGGGCTCTGGGAAGCTTGTGTCCAGCTTCTTGCAAACTTCATCACACACACCCTTTTTCCCTTTGCTGTTTTTGCTCTGTATCCTTTTACTGTATTAAAATTTAAACATTAATATGACTAGATGCTGAGTCCTACGTGTTCTCTTAGTGAATCATCAAACCTGGGGCTGGTCTTGGGGACCCCTTGAACAAACCGAAATGGAAAGTTTATCACTAGAAGACACAGACTAAGGAAATCTTGAAGGGAGAATGAAAATGATCCCAGAAAGAAATATGGAAACGCAGGACACAAACTAAATAGTAGGAAGGAAAAAAACCCCACAAATATATCAATAATTACATTAAATGTAAACAAATTAAATACAACTGAAAAACTGTCAAACTGAAAAAAAACAAAACCTAACCATACACTGCTTAAAAGACACATATTTGAAGTATAAAGACACAGGTTGAAAAAAATGCCATAAAAATAGTAATCAAAAGAGAGAAGCAGACTTGAGATAAAACAGACATTTGACAATAATAAAAGGGTCATTATATCCACAAGAAAAAGACAGATACTTGTCTAAACTGAGAGAAGTAAAAGGAGAACTGGATGAATCTATAGGCACAGTGGAAAACTTTGGTCTATCTCTCTAGATAAATGAGGAGCAGGAAAAAAAAATATCAGTAGGAATATAGAAGATCTCAGCAAAGCAAACAGCAAACTTGACCTAACTTCCAATATTTACCACACACCGTGACTTCAGAATACACATCTGGCCAAGTGCATATGGAATGGTTAAGATGATCTTATGCTGCAGTATAAAGCAAGCCTTAACTTACAAAAGACTGAAATCATTCAGGCTATGTTCTCTGACCCTGGTGGAAAGAATTAAGCTAGAAATCAAAACCAAAAAAGATGAAGAGCTAAATCCTAATATATGTGGAACTAAGCACTGGTCTTCTGAATAACCCATGAGTCAAAGAAGAACTCACAATAGAAATTAGAAATTATTTTGAACACATGGATATGAAAATAAAATACAACAAATCAAAACTTGTGGAACGCATTGAAGCTGTGCTCAGAGGAAATGTATTGCTAAAAACATGCATAAGGGAAGGTTGAAAAATCACTGACCTGGGTACCCAGCTCAAACAGCACAGGCAGGGTTGGGGGGAGTGGGGGTAACAATAGAAAATTAAGTCCAAAGAAGGTAGAAGGAAAGAATAACTTAACGACCTAGAAAACAACAGTACAAAAGAGGAAACTGACAGAGCCCTAAATTAGTTCTTTTAAAAGAACTAATACAATTGATCAATTCCTAGCAAGACTAACGAAGAAAGGGAGCATAATTTCTCCATATCAAGAATAAAAACCAAGACATCAATATAAATCCTACAGATGTAAAAAAGATAGTAAAAGGATATTTTGAACATTACACCACTACCTTTGAAAATTCAGATGAAATTGTCAAATTCCTAGAGGAGAAAACAATGTACCAAGAGTAACACAGGAAGAAAATAGCAAGTCTGAATAGTCGTTTATCTCTGAATGACATTAAATGTTGTCATTACAAAGCTTCCCGCACAAATCTCCCACAAAGAGGGGCGCCTGGGTGGCGCGGTCGGTTAAGCCTCCGACTTCAGCCAGGTCACGATCTCGCGCTCCGTGAGTTCGAGCCCCGCGTCGGGCTCTGGGCTGATGGCTCAGAGCCTGGAGCCTGTTTCCGATTCTGTGTCTCCCTCTCTCTCTGCCCCTCCCCCGTTCATGCTCTGTCTCTCTCTGTCCCAAAAATAAATAAATGTTGAAAAAAAAAATTTAAAAAAAAAAACAAGGAAAGTCTAATAAACTGTCACAGCCAAGAGCAGCCTAATTAGAAATGCAATGTGGTAAACTGGATGGACATTAGGGGGAAGGAAGGCAATATGAATAAAGTACCGGCAGTGCGTCTCTGTTTACCAATGTGTAAAAGGACAAAAATCCTTACCTGTTATAACGAAAAGTCAATAAATAATGTCTTAATTTTTTTTAAATCAAGAAAATAAGCTTAAGACTATTATTTAAAAACACAGGGGTAAATCTTAAGGATACTATTTTCTTTTTTTTTTTTTTTTAATTTTTTTTCAACGTTTATTTATTTTTGGGACAGAGAGAGACAGAGCATGAATGGGGGAGGGGTAGAGAGAGAGGGAGACATAGAATCGGAAACAGGCTCCAGGCTCTGAGCCATCAGCCCAGAGCCTGACGCGGGGCTCGAACTCACAGACCGCGAGATCGTGACCTGGCTGAAGCCGGACGCTTAACCGACTGCGCCACCCAGGCGCCCCGAGGATACTATTTTTATTTTCTTTTTAGTGAGAGAGAGCAGGCGAGCAGGGGAGAGGGGCAGGAGAGAGAATCCCAAGCAGGTTCCACGCTCAGCTTGGAGCCCAATATGGGCCTTGATCCCATGAGACTGGGATCACGACCTGAGCCAAAATCGAGAGACCGAGCCTCGGCCGACTGAGCCACCCAGGCGTCCCTTTAACTATTTAAAAAGTGGACAGACCAGTGATCAGAAACCCCGATCCTTAAGTAGTCAGTAGTAACCAATCCTTAAGCTTTCAACATATTGGGGGGGTGAGGGGAGACACTGCTCACTTTGGGCAGTTTCAAAAACGAAACCAGCGGCCTGACGACCTAAGATAAATTTAGTTTCACACTGGGAGCGAAGGCTAAAAAAACGCTTCAGAGAACTTAGACCCGAGACCCACCAATACAACTCCTTAAAGCGTAGGGCCGGGCTTCCCCCTAAAACGACAAATCCCGCGGGGCAGCGCGCCCGCGATGCGGGGCCCAAGGCCGCGAGGCACACTGGGAATTGCAGTCTTTCTCGGGGGAATCTGTCCCTAAATGCTTACCTGAGGAATCGTATGGTCAGTCTCGGCACCTCCGCTCCGCTCCAGGAAGAAAGCCCCGAGGCGAGGCATGGGGGTCTCTGTGCGAACCGGGAGCTTCTCGTGGGACATCAGGATGTCGTCCAGCGACAGAAAGTTCTCCTCAGGCCCGAGTGCACCCGACTCCACCCGGAAATAAGCCTCGGACATGGCGGCGGCGGCGGCTTCAACTTCTCCGCTTCCACTCGTGTGAGGCTAGGAGTCCGGGATGTAAAAAGCAGGAGAAAGCGGAGGCGGGCCCGGGTTGTGAAGGGTAAGGAGGTCGCTGCGACAGCTAGCCGGAATTGAAATTTTTCCCGCGCCGGGGACGCGCCAGACTGGAGCAGTCGATCCAAGAGGTCGGCCCAGGCAGAAGCAATAGACAGTCTGCGGACTTGGTCCCACGTGATCAGGGGCGGGGCGCATTAGGAACCGCGCTCGAGATTTCCACCTGCAGGGTGTAAGCTGGATGTGGGCACCTTAACAAGGAGCTGGAAATGCCCGTTGAAGTTGCTGGATGCATCTGTACTAGATTGTGTTCATGTGGCCCTTTATATGTTTATATGAAATTAAAAACGCTTTGCAACACGTTTGGGGGCTTATAAAAAGACATTACTGTGGCCTCCGTCTCAGGCCTGATCAAGTCAGACCTGTTTACTGTAGTTTTGTCACTGTATCTGTTAATCTTCGTGCTTGAAAGAAACATGAAAACAAAACCTCCAGCACTAGCCCCAGGTAGTTATGGACTATTTGTAGTATTTGGCGTTGATAAGGGAAGGAGGAGGAGGAGCACTAGACTATCCCTGGTTCCCAAAGGTCCTGAGTTTACTTCAGGGCCTTACTATCGACTGGCAATCTCCTTTCGTGGCTCTTAATTTAAATCCTTAAAAGAGGAAATCTAATTGGCTCAGTTTGTCTTTTTGAACAAGGTCACAACAGTCATACGTTGCCAGCCACCCTATAGATTGGATGGGTGCCTGTTGCTTGTGTAGTTGTGGGAGAAGGGTAGGGAAGGGATCATGGTTATTGGAAAATTAATGAAGAGAAACCTCACTAGAATGGAGTCGGGAGGTTCAGCAGGGGTAGCTCTCATGCCCTTACCACTCTTTGTTAATTGCAAATCCAACAGGGAAAGAGGGAACTTGCACCCGGATACAATTTTACCACCTGGGCAAGAGGAAGAAAGGCTTTCCTCCAAAGGTCCAGCCATGAGAAGCCACTATACTTTGAACTCCTACTATTTTACTCCAGTGAATTTCTTGTTCTAACAGTCTTCCCAACTCCCCTACCTCCTCTGTAGAAGAACCAACTCTCCTTTGTTCTCTGGACTTGTCTATGGTTTTGCTGTAGTTTTCTTGCCCTGGATGGCAATTCTCTGCTATTCCCGGATAAACCTATTTTTGCTAGTAAAGTAACTGGCAGTTTTATTTTTAATATAAACAGTTACATGTTACCAGATTTGGGGGTGCTATTCAATCATGGCTATGAGTGGTGGAGAGTGTTGAGAAATACGGTGTAGAACTTCATACAGAAGGGTCTTTTCTGGGGTTAGAGCTATAAGCAAAGGGTTCATGGGAAGGAGATGTGTATCAGTCCATCTTTCTTATTCCCTGCTTTTTAGGATACTGTGACATCTATCCCTTGTAGGGTGGGCTAATTCCTAGAGTAACAAACAACTTGCCTGTGAACACACCTTACATTAACCAAACAATCGAAAGCCTATACCCCCAACCACCTCCTTTAACTCTCACACACAGGTAACAACAGTTACCCTGCCTTAAATCACCCCAGGGCCAAATACTGGATAATGAGAGACCACCCTTAAAGCCCAGAGTCCACTAACATTCAAAGTACCCCATCCTAAGCTCACTCAAATTTGCCTACTATGCCTCACCCATTCCTTCCCACAGAAACCACAATAGAGGCTCTGGGTCATGTTCTCCTCTCCTTTTGCTTCCTTACTGACCCTGTGCGGCTTTGGATGGAACGATGTACTTCCTTCTCTTGGGAACTGGGAGCAATAAGACTTCTTTCAATGGCACTGACCACTCTGTCATTACTCAGTCACCCTTACAAGTGAAATCCTGGTGTAATCAAAACAAGAGGCCATGGGGGAATCAGGGCCAAACTGTGGAAAGCCTTGGGTGCTAATGAGTTGAGGCTATTCCACAGGAAATAGGAGAAGAAAATGTAAGATTTTTTTTTTTTTTTTTTAGCATGTGATAACATAAATCTGAGCTTTAAGAAGAGAATTCTGGTAGTGGGGAGAAGAAGGGAGAGATTAGATGCAGGGAGGCCAGTTTGGAAGCTGTTCAGTGGGCAATTCCTAGCAACTAATTGGAAGGAGAAAGTGAAGGGTAGAGAGAGGTCAAAGATAATTTAAGCTTTTTACCTGGTTGACCAGGTGGATGGAGATGTCACTAACAGATAGATATACAGAGCACAGGAATATGGGCAATTTGGGGTAAAAGATGAGTTTGGTCTGGTACTCATGGAGTCCAGGAGCCACTAGACAGGTCTGCAGCTCTGTGGAGACACCAGTCTTGAACCTTTAGTTAGGCATCTATGGAGAGGTAGTTGCAGGAGAGTCCTTTCCTTTATCATATTTGAAATGTTCAGTTTGCTGCACTATCCAATATAAAAGTAAACATAAATCATAGTCAAAATTTATAATTTGTTGAAATGGCTAGAAATGTGTTCATTTGTCTAATTGAAGGCAGTGAGGGTACTTTACTGACAAGGTGCAGTAAAGCTGTTTTTTATGTTGAAACAGTTAAGATGGATCCTTAATAACATCGATGCCAAGAAAGGCATTATTTTTGTGCAGAGACCATTGGCTCTAAACCTAAACACCGCAGCTATTTTAATAGTAAAGTAACAGGCCAGTGTTTAAGATAAAATCAGATTACCTTGTTTTTCTTCTGTGATGTCTTGGCTCACCATGAAACTAATTCACTGCTTGTATACTTTTGCTCTTTAATCTGCCCTCTTCTTGAACTCCCGAGTGAGCCAGAAAAAGTGAAATTAAAGTTTGAGCTTCTGATGCTAAACAATTGCATTAATTCATCTGACAAAAGTGGTACATAATTTATCCAGTATAGACCTGTTTGTAGCCTACATTTTAAGAGCCAGGAATGTTCCTTTTCTCATGAAATCTTGGGTTCCTTACCACCCAGCCAATCAATCTATGTACCAGAATTGCACTAGGCAGAATTTCAGCATATTTATGATATTCAGAGTGCGTTCAGTATGTTTACAAAATATAGAACTTCAGGATTCCAAAGATGTCTGCTGGATCCCTGAAAAAAAACACTAATTTTCCCAGTGCAATCATTTCAAGATTGCAGCACTGTGGCACACACACAGACTTCAGATAAGCAAAACCACAAAACAGCTTTAAATCTGTTCTTTTGAATACTGGGTGCTTTCTAAATTTCTTCCACTGAGTGGGGAGGCTGTGATGTAAGTGACAGAACTCCAGATCCGGGGGATGGGGGAGGATCTTTGGGGGAATAAAAGGAAAAAAAAAACAAACCAAAAAACCAGAAATGTGTTGGACTCCATCCTTCCAGTTGCTTCCTAGGCCAAAAGTTTTAGGGTTTTTCTTGATTCCCCTCCCCTTACCTTCTATAACTGTTCCATCAGCAAATGTTCACTCTGCCTTCATAATATTTTATTTTTTTTTATGTTTACTTTAGAGAGAGCGAGAGAGCGAGTGAGCGAGTGAGCATGAGCGGGGGAGGGGCAGAGAGCGAGGGAGACAGAATCTGAAGCAGGCTCCAGGCTCTGAGCTGTCAGCACAGAGCCCGACGTGGGCCTTGAACCCATGAACTGCGAGATCATGACCTGATGAGCCAAAGTCAGACGCTTACCCGACTGAGCTACCCAGGTGCCCCTGCCTTCATCATATTTCCAGAATTTGATTATTTCTCATCACTGTGGTCCAAACCAACATTATCTCTTGCTTGGACTTTTGTAATAGCTGCCCGTCCAGTCTTGCTTCAGCCTACGACCTCCTTATTGTTCTTTGAGAGCCCCAGACACACTCATTTCTTAGGGCCTTGCACTGTCTTTTCCCACTTCCTGGATTGCCTTTCTGTTGGATTTCCACATGGGTGGTCCCTTTAGTCTTTATTCAAGAGTCATCTTCTCATTCAGGCCTTCCCTCACTGCCCTATCCAAAATCTTAGCCCTCCCCAACTGACAGCTGATATCCCTCTCCTTTTTTCCCTCAGCATTTATCACTCTCTTATGTACTATTTGTTTTACCTTTTTAACTTGTTTATTGTCTGTCACCCCTACTTGAATATTAGCTTCATGAAGACAGGGATTCTTTTTGGTGTATTTTTCATGACTCTATCCCCACTACCTCGTGCATGTCAGGCACTTCCTAAATATTTGCTGAATGAATTAGTGGCTCTTTACTTATAGCAGTGATATTATTTTCCTTTAAAACATTAACCAAAAAACAATTTCAAGTAAATAATAGTATGAGTGATATGCACATATTACAACAGTCACAAAGGGTAGTAGTGAAACACTGAAAACACTGAATTAAAGTGGTACAAAATGGGGGCGCCTGGGTGGCCTAGTTGATTAAGCATCTAACTTCGGCTCAGGTCATGATCTCACAGTTCATGGGTTCAAGGCCCACGTCGGGCTCTGTGCTGACAGCTCAGAGCCTGGCCCCTGCTTCAGGTTCTGTGTCTCCCCCTCTCTCTGCCCCACCCCTGCTCATGCTTGCTCTCACTTGCTCTCTCTCTCTCTCTCTCTCTCAAAAATAAATAAACATTAAAAAAAATGAAGTGGTACGAAATAGTTTGCCAACGTACAGGCTAGGTCACATAATCTTCTAGAGCCGTGAACTTGTCATTGATAATACTCTGAAGAAAACTCACTGATTGGGCTCCACTAATTTAAAGTTGTTGAAGTTTTGGTAGAATTATACTGAATTTGGCAACTCTTTCTGCCCATGGATCCTGTTCCCATGCTTTCATAAAAACACCTTTTTGCACTGGGGGAAAAAAAAAGAACTATACTGAATTTTACCTTCCCACCCACTGTAAATATGGAATGTTTAAGCAAAAGGAGCAAACAGGATGTAAAATGGCTTAGTCCCCTACCCACAGAACATTTTCAGCAGCCATTTATATTCAGCTGCTGTGTTCCTT